GGGTTCGATCCCAGGCCCCTGGGATCATGACCTGAGCCGAAGGCAGAGGCTTTAACCCACTGAGCTACCCAGGCCCCCCATACTTTTCTTTTAAAGCTAATGTACTTTGCTTCTTATTTTTATATGCTAGAGAGAGGCTTATATCTTTAGGTCATGTTAATTAATATGTTTGTTTGTCTTTACTATAGTAAGTACAAAGGGATGCATGTGGCTATAGTAAATTATATTCTGTGTGATTATGAACTTGGCTAATCTGCTCAAATGCTTATATATGATTTCTCAATTATCTAGTTTTCACTGTGAAATAAAAATTAGTTATTTTTTAAAACATTATAATGAAATATAGGTGTTACATTTTTCTAGGAACAATAATGACAGTTTTTTAAGGAAAAAGAGTACATATATTTTTAAAGTCCAGTCCTGATATTTGTTCTCAGGACACTCTACATGCTCTTAAATTAAAATTTATATGGATCCCCAGAGATTTTGTTCTTGTGGGTTATTTCTAATAGATATATACTGTATTAGAAACTGAAGCCTAAATTTTTTTTAAAATTTGTTGTTTCATTTGGAAATAGCAATGACAAGACCATTTCATATAAATATAAGTAACTTTTTTATGCATTGTTTTTATAATTTTGAAAATTTCTCTAATGTTAGGCTTAAGAGAAGTCAGTTGGATCTTTTTATTTGTTTCTGCATTGGGTCTGATGCAATAGAATACCATATATAGCCACTGGAAAAACTCATGGCACATTCATGAGAGAAGGAGAATAAAAAAGTCAAATAAAGTCTTAGTTTTATTATGAAAATTGTTTTGACCTTGCAGATCCACTTAAAGTGTCTTAGGGACCCTCATGGGTCTGGGGCCCACTCTTTGTTCTGAAGTAAAGTGGCGATTTGTTTCAAAATATAAAATAACATAATAAAAGACAAAACTTTGGAAGAGATTTTTATTTGCCTTGGTTTATAGTACCTGTGCCTAAAATGAAGCTGAGAACTATATTAAAATTTTAGTGAGTTCACTCAGGTTTGATGAGCTTATTTCTTTGGTTTACTGATTAATGCTTTGCCCATGAAGCTCAAGATTATTTTTTGTATAATCTCCCCTTTGGGCTTTATGTTTATTTTGCCTTTATTTAAAGAAAAAATAAAGAACAAAGTTTCCTCATTGACAAATGAGCTAAGATTATTTATAATTACATTACTTTCTGTGCTTATTCCCAAATATTTTATTCTTGCTTTGAAAATTAGGTAACCAGTACTGTTTCTCAGGTACCCATGATTCTATCTTATTCAAGTACCCAATTCTTTTTTGACAACTCTTTTGATTTTGCCTTCTAAAGATCAGACCTAAATTTAGTAAAAAGTAAAAATTTCAGAGTATCTTTCACACCTAAAGCTATCTTTGAAATTTCCTAGAAGGTCTCTAGAAAATCACAAAGATTTTTCTTTCATCTTATAAAAAGAGATGTTAGAAATAATTAGGTTTGTTTGATATATTACCATTGTAAGAGTGTCATGTGAGGGCAGTTGTTGTCATATCTGAGAAGAGAGGCTTGGTGTGCCCTGGGTTAGATCCATATGTATAAAATGTTAATATAAATATTTCAGAAATTTTATGCTTTATGGGACATGCCTGGAGATTTGACAATGCTTTTGCTGTCCATAATATGTCTGCATCCTCAGGGGAAACACATCAAAACTTTTATGACATAGTTACATATGATATCTGAATAGAGAATTCTACTTCTATTCTAATATTATTGGTTACAGTGATAAATTAAGTACAGCTATTAAGGATCTGTCATCTTTGGAAATTTCTGTTTTACTCTAATGATGGCCTGAAGGTTCTGCTAAAAGTTACAGTAAATAGTTTGTGCCTACAACAAAGATTCAGAGCACTAGGGAAAAGGATTATCATAGGTACTTTGCACTACTGACACTTCAAAGAACAGTCTTTTGGGTATAGGCACCTGAAATGATATTGCTTAGATAACTTTTATGTAGTGCCAGCAGACTGTCAGGAATCCCAGGGCTCTTTAGAATAGAAGCAGATGGCTTCATGAAAGCAGACCGCTAACCCAAGATCTAGCAGAACAAGAATGATATAGAGCTGAATGAAATAATAAGGGAAATTTTATTGTATTTATTTGTTTGGGATACTGTTGGTTAATTTAATATTCTATTGCTTTATGGCTCTAGATTTGCAAAACAAACTCATGGAGGCCTATATGGTTAATTAATAAATTTGCTATGAAATAATAAGGGCAAGCCTCTAAGATAAGCCTTTTTTTGCGATCAATAATGATCTTTGTGATTATTTTGATCATATGAGGTAGGAGAGGGACATTATCAGGAAACATTAAGAGACTTTTAAATAGGCAAAAAAAAAAAAAAAAAATTACTGGGGGTCCAATCTAGTGTGTCCTTCTTGGCAATCTCCACCTTTCATTGTCTTTGAGCTATTTTACAATTCTGTAAGTTGTGGAAAATTCATAGTCATGCATATAATTCTTTAGTTTTCAGAGCAAAAAGCAGATACCATTTACTTGAAACTGTCAGTGTTTTATAAAAAATAAGCACTTTGGGGCAGAGGTGGAGGTAGGAAAAGATTTTGAGGGAAGCAACCGTGTGTGGAAGGGCCATTTCTTCTTGGCTGAGAAGAGGACTGAGGTCTGTGGGTCCCGTAAGCAGCCGGTGTCCCTTCTCCCTGCCCCAAGGCTCCCAGCTTCCCCATGATCCTGGTGTTGTTAGCAAGGCCTAAAGGAGCAAATACCTGAGATCATAGCACTACAGGGATATTGTAGATGTATTCAGTGCAGACTGGTGACCATCTGTGTCTCCCTGATCCACTGTTAGTCTGTTAAGCCCCTTTCAGTTTCTTGGCATAATCCTTGGAGCGGTGAGCTCCACAATGGCTTAATAAAATTTCCTGCCAGTTCTGTAGCACAGGTGCTCATAGTAGGATTTAAGTTGAATCAAGTAAATGATATTCTTGCATACCTGAGTTTCTGCATGTAAGATTCATGTTTGCTACATAATGCTTTTGGATCTTTCCTTGACCTTTCTATCTTTTCGGTGACTGGTTTTCAGGCTCAGCCCTTGGGCTGGAACAGATGTTCTGTCTCTTAGGCTTTTCTTTCTGCTACTGAAGTACAACTGAATACTTTTGGCAACTAGAATTTGCAGGTTGGCAGGAGTTTGCTGCATTTATGTTTTATCTCTTTCTTCCTGGTTCCTCTTTCATCATATTCCCACTCAAGGAGGCAAGAACGACAATTATTAGCTCCCATGGATTACTATGGGATGCCTAGTTCCTAAAATCTCCTGCTTAGTATTAAAGGTTTAGTATAAGTATCTTACCATACAGATAATAAAATAAATAAAACCAAAATGCATTACTATATTACCTCTATTTATTTGTGAGCAAATCCCTAGGACAACTACTGACATCTTTGTTAGCATTAATAAAGAAGGTTAAGGCTGAGAAGTGTTCTATCCTTACCATACTTGAGCCACAATTGCCAAGCCTATGTGTGTTAGAAGCTTGTTGCCTTTTCAGAAGTATTGGAAAAGACAAACTTCAGGTTTGCAAATAGAATGTATTGTCCCATAATTAAGCTCATTAGCAACCAAGATAAATTATACATTAAATACTCCCTGGAAACAACAAAATTAATGTTCCAGTACTCTTAACTTCAGGGTTTGCTCTTGTGTTATTCAGAGCACCACAGGCAGTTTGATGGTAATGAAAACAGACAGGTTGAAAATTATTTCTTATAGCTCTACTATAATGCAGACCTCAGTTCTGGCCTTTGTGATCTCAGAAGAGGTCTGCAGCAATTTGCTCCACCTGGGATTAAGGACTTCTAGGAGACTTTGAGGAAAGACTAATCCAGAAATCTGGCTGCTATAAGGAGAATACTGCCCACACTTCAATACCTTCACTCCTGGATGTAATCTGAGATGGTAGTCTTGGATCGAGATTCTCTATTTTTCTTCTATGGTTTTTGGCCACTGAAGGGCTATTTTTACACACTCTAAAACTAGTTGTGAATGAAAGGTAGGCATTCTCTGTTCACACCACTAACTTCTGCCACACAGGTTATAAATTTAGGCAGTTTTATAGCTAGATAGGGCAGAGACCAAGAACAATCATACATAGAAGATCTAGCTAAAAATGGTGTTCTTGGAAAAATCTGAATTTTAGTAGTAACTGCTATTATGACAATATTTTTAAAATTTTTCATTTAAGTCATTAATATGAAAAAAAGAAAAAAATGGAAAGGGGTTATAGGCTGGCAAAATATTTTGTGTTCTGAAATATTTTTGAGCCAAAACATCAGGTTGGTTATTGTAGTAAAGTATATTTTGCTTTTATAATATTATTCAATGGACCCAATAACCATCATGAACCAACACATTTCATTAAGATATATAAACTTAATGATACTGAAACAGTGAAATTGTGATTTTTAAAGGACTAAGCATATATTTTATGCAAATATACTTAATTTTATAAAATCCTATATATACTTATATAATGTTTGTATTTTATTTTCATCACTATTATGATTATGATCATTATTATTTGTCAAAGGGGGCAATGGAATGCCTAATCCTGTCTTTCCTCCCTGTGAGGAGCTAAGGGTTCTTTTTCAGGTTTGGAGTATATGGCAAGGGAGGACAGGATTTGGGGTAGATATCACTTATAAAGGAAGTCCTAATGTTACAGTAAAGGTGAGTAAGCAAAGAAACAAATCTTCAAAGGAACATGAAAATAATTTTGAAAGTTATAGGATTCTCCAAGCTCTTTCTGAGGTAAGCCTTCTGCTCTACTTACACTGCATCCCTTTTAGAATGCCCAGAAATTTCTGAAGCCCTATGGATTTTTCATATTTGTACAGGTCTGGTTACAGATAACAGATATCCACCAGACTACAGTTAATCAAGGTCATTACCTTAGATAAATTTTCATGAACCCCATATTTTCATACCTTTTCCCCCATGGATACACCCCCTGATGTGATGATGACATCAGCACGACTGATACCCTCATTCAAGGCATTGAGTAAGTCATCTGGGCTGGAAAAAAATAAAGACAAATAAGTTAACCACAAGAAAAGATTTTAGATATTTAGATATTTAAATGCCAACTTAAAACTAAACCACTTTATTCACTGCATAGGCATTAATATGAGTATAGCATTATATTCTGCACGAAGTGGGAAACAAAAAGGTCTCTGCCCAATGGAAACATAACTCTTATTGCAGAGAAAGAACCTTATAAGTGCAGAAGTAGTGGCTACTGGTACTTTCATAGGGCTTTTTGCTCTAACAAGGCAGCATAATGGGGGGAGATATTGAGGTGCTGGTAGGCTATCTAACCATCCCAGTTTATCTAGGATAATCCAAGATTTAGTACTGAAAGTCACATGTCCTAGGAAATCCCAGGTAGACCAGGATGGTTGGTGACCCTAGGTGTTGGGAGAGGTCACACAAGACTCTTTATAAAGGGAATATGACTTAAGCTAGTTAAGCCTTCAGACTTTCACAGGTGGAAGGAATGAGAAAAGGCCTTGTAAAGAGGATCAGCCTGTGATGCAGCCTCAGTGGAGATTAAGATGGGGAAAAAGAACTGTCTAGAGTGAAGAACTTAGAATGACTGGGATAGGACATGATTTTGGAAGGCCCTCAAGCTCAAGAATTGGGACTTCATCTAGCCAGACAAGGATGGTGGTGGGAGTTCCCTAGAAATATGAAGAGGCAATAGGTGTTTACTAGGAAAAAACAAGGAAAGCAGAATCTGTATGAAATATTCGAGAAGGTAAAAGGACAAGATGAATATTAGGGATTGAAACTAGGCAGATTCCTGAGAGTCAACTGAAAAGACCAGTTTACAGGCCCTTTGATTGCACAGGTCAAAGGCCTGGGAAGAAGAGAAGAAGCAAAATCAAGTCTATCCTCTGGATGTTAGAAGGGTTACAAAGGCATAAATTGAGATTGATAAATTGAGGGAAAAAAACCAAAGTGCTAGGAACAGGGCTTAGAGGGGGATAGGAAGGTAAGGGTTAGCTAAAAAGGACTATCTAGTTACTATTTGAATTCCATACAAAGGTACTGGTAATATGCACTTGAATTCCCCTTCAAATGACGGAGTACAGAAAGGGAGTCTTTTGAGGAGTATCTGGCCTATACCTTTGTTTTCTGAGAACTTTTTACCCTGTGGGGAAGGGGGGTAGATCTCTTTCTCCCCCATGAACATCTAACACGCCCATCTAAAAAGGGAACAATCCTAGTTTTTGTTTTTCCAGTTCTTTTTTTTTTAAATATTTTATTTATTTATTTGACAGAGATCACAAGTAGACAGAGAGGCAGATGGAGAGAGAGGAGGAAGCAGGCTCCCTGCAGAGTAGAGGGCCCGATGCGGGGCTCGATCCCAGGCAGAGGCTTTAACCCACTGAGCCACTCAGGCACCCCTGTTTTTCCAGTTCTTGAGTTTAGTTCCTCTTGAGGACTATTTTGCTCTTGGGTTCCATGAGATAACCATACATCTTCCCATAAACCCTTCTTTTGCTAAAGCTAGCCTCAGTGTTTTTTTGTTAACTTGAAACCAAATGATGTCTCAAGGAAATAGCATACATTCCCCCAAATCACCCTTGGTAGTGAAGTTTTTTCACATCCCTTTACCTTAATGCACTATTTCATGGGGGAGGGAGGGAGAAAGGAGGAGGAAAAGTGCTTGAAGGAGGAGAAGATGATTAGTAACTAGGACATCATTTCCCTTTTTATCTAGGGTTGATAGAGGTAAGGAGAGGAACTTGAGATTCACCTGACAGGTGGCCTTCAACTCACTAAGGCTCTTGAAGAGATAAGCTAGTTGGGAAGTGGCATAGCACAGAGATCAAGAGTATAAACTCTTAAGCCAGACTGCCTGAATTTAAATCCTGATGCTACTATTTGCTAGATGTAGAATCTTGGCCAAATTGCTTAACTTCTCTTTGCCTCAGCTTTCCATCTATCAAGTAGAGATAATACAGGGTTGCTATGAGGAGTAAGTGACACAATACACATAAGTTTATGGAATACTACACAGTACAAACTAAGTTTTAAAGAAAGGTTAGATGTTATTATTGCTGTACTACTGACGGAAGCTTATCATATAAACATACCTAACCTAACATATCATATAAACGTATCATATAAACATACCTAAACATACCATATGTTTATAAACATGTTAGGTATGTTTATATGGTATAAAGTTTATATCAACTTTAGCATACTTGATAGTTTTTATTTAGGAAAATATTCATTACTAACACAGAAGAAAATCACAGATGGGGCCTTAGATACATTCAGAACTGTATGTGAAAAGTCCAAATAGCTCAAAAGCAGTAGCAAGCTAGACCTGGTCCCAGCCTAAATAGTTTCATTTACTGGTTGATTCTCTTACTGGATCTGGATAAAATTCTCCTCTCCAAGTACTGGCCTATCTACGAGTATACTGGGGTTTGTTTGGCTCTGAGGAGCAAGCTCCCAAGAAAAAGACACAAACACAGAAGTTTGGAAAATAGCTCACATGGGCTTCAAACTACAAACATAAGGACTCTAAAATCATCTAGTTAATTGCTTATGCAGCCAAAAATGTACTCAGGTATTTGGTAAAGATAGGATCTATGTGTAAAACTTAAAAAAAAAAAACAAAAACAAAACACCTTAAAAAAAATCCCTTTCAAAGTTAAACTGGTTGGGCAAACATCTTAGAAGAATTATACTCAATAATATTTAAAGTAGTTTTGAATTAAGTATTTTGTAAAGAATTTTCATCAGTCTTTTTCAATTTACATTAGTGAAAAAGACAGCAACTTATTCTGTTGTATTAAAATACTATAAGATATGCACATGCTGGGTTCCTGTTCACTGCATGTCCAGAGCTTTGGGCCCCTTGCCTTGCTGGATATTATCATCAGGCTGAGGCAAATGTTTGGTCAATGGAGTAAATGGAAAAACACAAACACAGGATAATGTGGAAAGTGGTTCAGGTGAATGGACAATAAATATTATTAACAAAATATAATTTTGTGTTAGTACAAAGAGACATCAGCTAATTTTACCAGTTTTATAATATGTAATTTATAACATGTCAGCCTTAGAGGATTATGGTAAAGTCCCTGGAAACAAAGCAGCAGTGACATCTACATCTTCGCAGTATTAATTTTTGTAGGTGGCTAAAGGTCCTGGGATCTGCTAGTTGATGATACAAATAAACAAACATTTCAGTGATTTTTTTTTCTCATTTGTTTTTACATTACCTGGGCAAGATGTTTTTTCCTGTTTTATAAAACTGAAGCGTCATCAGCTCTCTGTACGACTTTTCTAACTTACAGAAATAAACTAAAAGGGATTTCATGCCTTTTAGTATTCAAAGAACATTCTCAGTGTTACTTTCTACTCTGTGTTTGTGTATTCACAAAACACTGATTTTCAAAGTTGGAAAGCTCATGGGGGGTCACTCTGTTCAGTATCACAGCTGAGTGCATTCTTTGGGTCTTACTCTTCTCTATCCCCCTCTGCCCCTCTCTTTGACTCTACTTTCTGTCACATATTTCTGATGTCTGGAATTTAGTAAGAGATAATGGCTTAGTAGAGGGTCAGGTACAAATGCTGGCCAACAGTCAGAGGATCTATAACTTCATTTATGTTGCATTACGTTGTATAAATAGAGTAATAACTCTATTTATTCCTTCTTTAATAAGTCTGTGAGGTAGATCGAACAGGTAATATCATGCTCATTTTACAGAGAAAGAAAGTAATATTCAGAGCAAAGCAGTGCTTTATTTATTTTTTTAAGTAGGCTCCACGCCCAGCGACCTGAGATCAAGACCTGAGCTGAGATCAAGAGTCGGATGTCTAACAGGCTGAGCCACCCAGGTGTTCCGAAGGTAGTGTTCTAAAAGTGAGGTAGAGTAATAAGTGGCAGAGCTAGAACTAGAGCTTCTGGATCCGTATTACGTGTTTATTCCATCCCACTGACTAATCAGAGTGAGTGTCTAGTTTTTTCAGGAATATGACATATCATATGATGAAAATTCTCATGAGAAAGGGCCCTTGTGCAAAAGCATCAAATGGTAAAGCAAAAAGTGATAATCTATCTGTGTTGACTAGGAAAGTGCATGTGTGGACATGTTAGTATAATTCTGGGGAATGAAACAAATGTGACTCTGAATCCTATAATCAGATGGAAACTGAGTAAGATTTTGATTAAACATAACTTTTAGGGGTTTTTTACAAGTTACAACTTTGCTCTCTTTTTATGATTCATATTATATTTTAAATGATAAAAATATTTTCAACATAACATAATATATAACAGCCAGGTATCTATCTTTCAGATTTGACATATGCTAGTATTTTCCCATATTTACTTCATATTCCCTCTCCCCTCATTTTTTTTAAGAAATTAAAAAAAAGTTTGTTTTCTAAAACTAAGCAATTACTCTGAATAATGATAAAAGGAATAGGTAACAAGGATTATAATTGTGGGTATTATAACAGAATAAGAACCATTCAGGATTTTCTGTTTTGTTAAATAGATCATGGTATATTAATTTTCTCAAGGAAGGGAGAGTAAAACTAAAACATAATCTGATCTTTTATTATATAATATGACATTATGTATCTTACATGTCTCTTAAATGACATCACTTTGTATATATTAGATCATTTGATATATAAGAAATAAAGTAATGACAATAATATGCACATTTTGAACGAACAATACACTTTCACAGGTATATGTTAATTTCACAACTCTATGTGGTAGGTAGGGCAGAAGAAGGCACTGAGGTTCACAGTGGCAGTGAAAGGTTCAAGGTTACCCTTTGTTCACTCTGCTATTCTTTTAAACTATAGAAATATTCACATAATGAAAGATAATTTGTTATATATAGTATGCCTCCAGATATAAGCTATTTATCATTTTAATCTAAATATATAAATCCTATTTGTGGATGCTATATAGAGATGATAAAAACCTGACAATTTGTACTTTTAAAATTTGAACTATCTTCTCACCATTGCCA